ACGCCTGGGTGGCTCAGTAGGTTAAGCGTTGGCCTCTTGGTTTCAGTTCAGGTCATGATCTCAGGGTGGTGGGATCCAGCCACACCTCGGGTTTTTCACACAGCTCTCGGAGTCTGCTGGAGATTCTCTCTCTCTCTCTCCCTCTGCCCCCCCCCCCTCACGAATAAATAAATAAATAAATAAAATTAAAAAAAAAAAAGTCAACAGGATGTCTAAGATCGCTTCCAGCTCCACCGCGGGCAGTTGAAGACCCACCCAAATAAACACCCCCTCCTCCCCTTAGCCCACGAGATCTGTGGGGATGTCCGTGCTCGCCGAGGCGGAAAGAACGGCCCCAGCATTTCCCAGAGTGCCTGCTCTGCCTTGCACTCCTGTCTTGCAGTCCTTCCCCTTCTCTGCACACCCGGCTCACCGGGACGCTCACATTCTCAGACACACGCTCCCCTCCATCTTTCCCAACGCCTTCTCCAGGCTCCAGTCTGGATACGGCTCCCTGAGCACCTACAGCGCTCTCTCCCTACCTTCTCCCCATCCAGCTTTAGAGGTGAGACCAAGGGGATGAACTAAGAGGAAGGAAATCCGCAGCCGCGCTGAGCGTCGAGCAGGGGACGTCTCGGTGGTGGGCCGGAAGCCGTGAGGACCCCGTCCCCCTGGGCCTGGGGCAGGTGGGGCAGGTGTGGGCCGCGGGGCTCACCTGGCAGGAGTCCACCTTCCCATCCAGGTAGCCGGCACACACCATCCTGTCGGTGAGTGAGTGGCCGTACAGACTTGCACACAGGCCCTGGTCCAGCAGCTCCACGGTGGCTTTCTGCAGCGTCTCTGGCTTCACCACTGCCCAGGACAGGGAGAGACTGGCAGGATGAGCCCGGAGGCTGCGGGTCGTGTCCGCTGTGACCCCGCATCCCCCGCCGGGAGGGGCTTGCTCAGCACCCAGCTCAGAACCTGGCAGAGGCCATGCTCTACAAGGGCCCACCCGTAACCTTCTGGCCCGGACAGCAGAGGCACCCGAGTTAACACCCTCATCTCCCCCTGAAAACCCCTCTGCCTGAGTCTCCCTCACTAGCCCTCTGCTGGTCTGCTCGTTCTCCTCTGCAGAAAGCACTCCTTAGCCCGACACCAGCTGATTTACGGTTCATCTCTGCTGAATGTGAAATCTGATTATGTGGCCCCTCTCCTCAAACCTTCTGGGGTGATCTCGCCTCAACCTCCCGCTCAAATGAAAAAGTCCAAGTCTGACCGCTGACCCCAGGGCCTTTGCACATGCCGTTCCAGCAGCCTGGAATTTTGTCTCTACAGAATCTGCCAGCCTTCCTCCCTCATCTCCTTTCTTTTTTTTTTTTTTTATTTTTTTTTAAAAGAGTTTATTTATTTGCGAGAGAATGAGAGACAGAGAGCTTGAGAGGGAGGAGGGTCAGAGGGAGAAGCAGACTCCCCGCCGAGCAGGGAGCCCGATGCGGGACTCGATCCCGGGACTCCAGGATCATGACCTGAGCTGAAGGCAGTTGCTTAACCAACTGAGCCACCCAGGTGCCCCCTCATCTCCTTTCTTAAGAAGCCCCTCCTGACCACCTATTTAAAGCTGCAGCCCCCACCCCATGCCTACCTTACTTTCCTCCACTGTGTCCATCCCCATCTGCCATTTTTACAACCTACTTCCCTCTAGAGCTGTGCTGTCCAGAACGGTAGCTGCTGGCCACATGTGGCTACTTAAATGCAGATCTAAATGCGTTCAAATGAAATAAAACGCACAACTCAGTTTCTCAGCCGCACGGGCCACGCTGCAGGGGGCTGGTGTCTCCTGCAGCAGGGGACACAGACCTAGTAAAGCACAGCCATCCCAAGGAAAGTGCTCTTGGATGGTGCTGGTCTGGGCTGAGCCCCACGCAGGGAGACTGTTCTGCTTCCTGCCCAGTCCCCTGGACCAGTGCTCAGTGAGCTGGGAAGGCTCAAATGTGTCTGGATCGTCTTCCCTCCTAATTAGGTCCATGTGGCCAATACCTTTCCTTTTCAGAAGATGTAAAAATCACCCAGCATTCTTTCTTTCGTGTCAGGTAAAAAGAGACCCAGGAAAACCCCAGAACACAGGCAGTGGGCCCTGCGAGGGAGGTCAGCCACGTTGGATCCCCAGACCCTTCATGCAGGGTAGAGCTGCCCCCGAACCTGGGGGCCCTAGGTCATCCCCCACTCCCTGCACTATCCATGAAAACCCACACAGCCACTGAGCCGAGCTGGGGCTAGTGGCTGTGTTGGACAGTTTGCTCTAGAACGTTCTAGATGGCGTCATCCAATAGAACTTTCCGCGACACTGGGAATTCTCGCTGCAGGACGCCCTCCTGTTCCCTGAGGCTCTGCCTCCTCCAGCAGGCCGGACCCGAGGCGTCTCTGTCCTGGGGCCTTCCCTACAGCTGTCCCCCAGCCCATTTCGGTTTCCCCACCACATCCCGTCACATGAAAGGCGGCTCTCAACCGAGGCAGTTCCGTTTTGTGAAGTCACCGCGAACCCCGAATTAGCGAGTAGGAAGCATGGCCTCTGGAGGATCATGGGACAGGAGGACACGAGCCTCTGGTCCCAACATTTTCGAGAACCGACCGATACGTAACCTCATGTTACACGTGCTTCTGTCTAAACGCGCCATACTTAACGCACGCCGTCGAGTCCTTCACCTGAACGCGAGCCCGGGGCGCTGTCGCTCACCCCTGACGGCAGGTATCTGACGCGCGCTCCTCACCAGACACGCCCCAGCCTCCCCGGCCGGCACCCCATCTGTAGTCTCGGGGCCCTTTTAGAAATCACCCTCAGAATGCACCAAAAGGCAAAGAAGGACACTGGTTTCTGGTCGGAGCTGAAACAATAGGTGCCAGTGACCACGAGATCACCCCGAGGGCCCGTCTGGGGCTGTGAACACCCCCCACTGGGCAGGTGCGCTCGGAGCACAGGATCAGGACAGCGGGGTGGGCTGTGTTTGGACCCCCCGCGCCGCGGCCCAGCCGCCGAGCGCAGCACTTACAGAAGTCCTCCCTGAGGTAGCCCCAGCCGGAGATCAGGCACCTCCTCCGGGGCGGGAAGACGTGCGTGGCTGCGGGGAGGCACACGGGCTGGACGTGCCTGCCGAAGCGCAGGGGCCTGTCCAGCCGCAGCACCGCCACGTCGAAGTCGGCCGTGTCCGCGTTGTAGAGCGGGTGCGGGAGGATGCGGGCCACGCGCGCCCGCACCGTGCTGGCCTCGGCCCCGCTGAGGTACGTCGTGCCCGCGTAGGCCACCCACTCTCTCGGGTCTTGGAACCTGCAGGACAGACGGACCGCAGCTCAGAGGCCCACCCACGGGACAGGCGGCAGCGGGAGGCGAGGGAGGCACTCTCCCGGGGGGGCGAGCGTTAAGGGGGCGCCCCGAAACCCAATCATCACAACCGGTGTTTCCACGCAACGCTGTCAAAAGTGAACATAAATGCAAAAGAAATCCATCCTGCCCCGAGGATCAACACTCTCGGCAAAGACAGATCTGGGTACGAAATGTTAAGGGGGCGCCAGAAACCACAGACCAGGCAGCAAAACACCTGAACGAATGCGAAAGGCCCACGGTGAACAAAGCAGGGACTTCTGACTAAGCACGGGGTCGGGCTGTGCTGGCTCCGCTCACCTCCCTCGCCTTCCCCGAGCCCGGGCCCGTCAGCTCTGGTCTCGGTTTCAGAGCTGGCTATTCCGTTCATTGTTGATTTTTTTCTTTGCACTCATTTTGATTTTTTTGCAACACAACATGAAGATATTACTCGTCACGATGTCTGTTCCTGGCGACCCCCTACATTTTGCACCCCGCCCCGGCGAGGGCCTCGCTCTCCTCACAAAGCCCAGCCCTGCGAGGCACCTCATGGGCCCCACAGTCAGTCAAGGAACAGCACACTTCCCGGCAGAAACACGGGACGAGGCTGGGTTCTGTTTCACAAAGCCCTCCCCTCTTCGCCCACCCTCTCTCGGTATCTTTTTTATTATTTTTTTTTTTTTAAAGATTTTATTTATTTATTTGAGAGAGAGAGTGAGAGAGGGAGAGAGCACAAGAGGGGGGAGCGGGAGAGGGAGAAGCAGACCCCCCGCCGGCAGGGAGCCCGATGCGGGACTCGATCCCGGACTCCAGGATCATGACCTGAGCCAAAGGCAGTCGCTTAACCGACTGAGCCACCCAGGTGCCCCCCCCCCTCGGTATCTTTATGAACTCAGCTCAAGGCCAAAACTCTTACTGCCTTAAAAATGGTTCAAATAGTAAATTTTACGTTATCTGTATTATATCAAAAGAAAAAAGAAAAAAACAAAGGTAGCTGTAACAGGCCCTCGGGACAACTGGGGCAAGCCGGACGCGGACGGGACGCTGGCGGACAGCGTGTGGCCGGACCTTCCCTCGGCGGTGCGGGCGTGGGACGGCATTACGGGCGTGCGGGGGACCGTCCCTTATTTGTGCAGACATGAGCAGCAGGGCCAGAGGGGTATCAAACGGTTTGGCAAAGAAAGGTGCACACACGGATGCACGTAAAGGCCCAGATACGGGGCAGGCAGCAGGAACCAGCGCTACCACGGCAAAACGCGATCCCTCGCCGAGATCAGGGAACACAGGTACACAGGTTTGGCTCTACAGTTTCTACCTCTTCTGTCTGCTTAAATACTGCCGTGATAACACATGGGAGGAATAAAACTTCAAGTGGAAAACCCCCAACTCCTGCTGTCCTGAGCTGTCCCTGTTTCTGACGTCTGTCCCCCGGACCGTCACCCCGAGGCAGACAGCAGGTTGCACTCGGGCTCACCGGCATCCCACGGGGTGGTCAGTGGGCAGTGGTCTCTCTGAGGAGCCCAGGATGCTGCTGCCCTGCCCGCTCCCCAGGACTCCTCAGACTGCAGCAACCAAACAGCAGTGCCTGGTGCAGGGGCTTCTAGAACCTTCTCCCACCTTTGACCAGCTCCATTCTGGGATCAGCCACTCTGGTTCGTTAAAGACCCTGACCATCCTCAACGACAAGCAACAACCCGGTTCAAAAATGGGCGAAGGACGTGAACAGACATTTCTCGGAAGAAGACCTACAAATGGACGCTCCACGTCACTGGCCATCAGGGAACGCAAACCATGACTGCAGTGTGACCCCACTAAGACAGCTCCACAGTAACAAGCGTTGGTGAGGATGTGGGGAACCTGGAGCCTCCCACACGGCTGGCAGTGGCGGGAAACCGTGCAGCCCCCGTGGGAAACTGGAGGGTCCTCAAAGGGTTAAACACGGAATTACCGGACGACCCGGCAATCCCACTTCTGAGTCTATACCCAGAAGAACTGAAAGAAGAGTCCTGAAGAGATGTTTGCACACCCCTGTTCGCAGCAGCAGGATTCACGGTAGCCAAGAGGTGGGAACAGCCCATATCTAGCAACGGATGAGTAGATACACAGAATGTGGTATATCCATGTAATGGAACGTCATTATTCAGCCTGAAGAAGAAAGGAAGGGGCCCTGACACCTGCCACGACGTGGA